CTGAACCAGGCATTTCCACTGCAGAAGCTGGGATCTGAAAAAGCAAAACCATGATGTCAGCAACAGAGGTCAGAGATTCCAAGTCCCAAGGCCTACAAAGCTAACAAGCACTGGGTTCCCAGGGCATTGTGGGCAGGCCTCAGGAACAAGGAGTGAAAGGCTGAAAGGAAGGAAAAAGGAAGATGATTTTTTTTTTAAAGAGAGAGAAAGGAACAGAGCAAAGAAAAATTAAAAAGTTAACAGGACAATGGTCAGTACCACCAACTGCTTCTTTGAGCAAAGAGAGGGGGGAGGATTGTGGTGAAGGATGAGTGAAGAAGAGGGGCCTCTAATGAAAGCATTACCTGGTCAACGAACCACTCATCCTCTGTCTACAGAACACAGCTAAATACGTAAGAACAGCAGGCCCTCTGAGTTAAATACACAAGACCATCAGATTTCCTGAGCCAGACCTGTAATTTGAATGGACAGTCCCTGTCTCTTAGCACAAACCCATTCCCTCTATATTAGCCCAGTTACTCAGAAATGACTGAGTCCTCATAAAGCAGTAAACTATGTACTTGAAAATACCACAGGAACTAAGTGTTAAAATACGTTCATCTTTGGGACTGTGACTTCACGATGGAAGACCCACCTTAGAAGCTGGAGGTATTCGCCGCTTAGGGAGTTTGATGTGTTTAGGCTGTGGCTGGTGAGCAGACACGGCGATGTGTTCGACAGTCATGCTGGGAAGCTGCAGAAGTTTGTTCACAGTGGAGGTACTGCTGTCTCTGGGTGCTGACTCTCGGAGTTTCACCTGGGAAGGAAAGGACTCCAACCCAGGAGGAGGAACAGTGACTGCCTGAGTCTGCTGCTGCTGTCGTTGGCTCAGTTGGCTAAGAACAGGGGATGGCTCAGGCTGAGATTTGAAGTCTAAGAAGGCGGGGGGGGTGGGGGGCAACAATCAATCATTTAGGCACATGAGCTCACAGCTCCCTCTTCCACCAGCACTGATGCTGAAGGGTTGCTGTCATCACTAGTTTCTCCCAACCGTCTTCTAGCTGAATCCCTAACGTGGTGTGTGCGTGTGTCTATAATGTTTAACAACTGGTATATGACAGATTGAAAAGAACACCTGAATGGGTTTGTAGCTAATGTCTTATGCAGAGAGGAGATTCAGTTTATGCTAAAGCATATCGGGTGGGGAATAGGTGTTTTATATTAACTTCTGAAAACTATTTTATTGATTTTTTTTCAGTAAGTAACATATGTGATATTACAAAATCTAAAAGGTACAAAAATACACATGAACGTGATGTGAATACAAATCACCCTTCCACCCCATCCCCAAATTTGATCCACAGAATCAGACACAGTACCCAGTTTCTTGAATACCTTCAGATATACTGTTTCAGTATATATACATAGAGACACACACACACACACACACACACACACATCTTGCTTCCTTGCAAACCATTTAGTTTTCAGAGACTTCCACATTAACATATAAAGAGCTACTTCATTTTTATGATTACAAAGTAATCCATCATACATAGGTATTGATTTTTAAAACCAGTACTATCTTAATAAACTTTTAGGTTTTCCAATCTCTTGCTATGAAGAACAATGCTGCAATAAATATATTTTTATGTAAGACATTTTGGTCAAGTGCAAGTATATCTGTAGGATCAATTGCTAAAATACAGTTGCTGGTTCGAAGAGTGACTGTATTTTAAATTTTGACAAACACTTCAAAATTCCTATCCATAGACAGAACACAAACTTTTTAACATACTGTAATACCACACTTTTATCCTTCCTAGTTTGATTGGTGGGAAAATGGCAGAAAAGACACAAATTAAAATGATATAAGTTTCAGGGCTTCCCTGGTGACTCAGTGGTTAAGAATCCGCCTGGCAATGCAGGGGACATGGGTTCGAGCCCTGGTCCGGGAAGAACCCACATGTCATGGAGCAACTAAGCCCGTACGCCACAACTACTGAGCCGGCGTGCCTAGAGCCTGTGCTCCGCAACAAGAGAAGCCACTGCAATGAGAAGCCAGCGCACCACAACAAAGAGCAGCCCCCACTCGCCGCAACTAGAGAAAGCCCACGCACAGCAACGAAGGCCCAACGCAGCCAAAAGTAAATAAATTTTAAAAAATGATATGTTTGGCTAAAAATCATTGCATACACTTTTTCTTTGCCTATGAACTGTCCATACCCTCTCTTGACCATTTTTTTACTTCGTTGTTGGTCTCCTTGATTTTTAGTTAGTTTTTATATTAAGGAAGTTAGCCCTTTGCCTATGATACAATTTTTTTTTCATAGGTTGTCTCCCTTTTTATTTGGTTATGGTGTTTCCTATCATATCTAGAAAGGTCTACCTCACACAGAGTATATCAAAATCTTCCCATGTTTTTCTCTATTATTGTTCTAGATTCATTATTTATGCTTGGGTATTTCACTCATTTGGCACTTTGCTGAAGAGTGGGAGTTAGGGATCCAACTTCATTTTCCAGCCAGTTACCAAACAGAAATAAACCATCTTTCCACCACTGAGTTGAAATGCTACCTCTGTCATATAGGATAGAGGTTGGCAATCCTTTTCTGCAAAGGACAAGACAGTAAATATTTTAGGCTCTGAAGGCCATCTGTTAGCAAATTCTCAACTCTGCCTTTGTAGATTGAAAGTAGTTATAGGAAAACCAGAAATGAATGGCTGTGGCTGTGTTCCTATAAAAGTGTACTTACACAAACAGGTGGCAAATCCAGTTGAAGGTTTGCCATCCCATGACTTAGTATATTTCCATCATAGATGAATCTATTTTTGGCTTGATATTAGAGGCATGTACAAACAAGACAGGCTTTTAAAGAATATGCGAATAGCACGCTCAAATCTAAAACCTCACACCACTCATCTGTTAAGTGTGCAGAAAAAAGTTAACATACATAGGAAGTCTATAGCTGCCATCAGAAATGCCAGCTTGCAGATGGGCTCTCAGCTTCTGTCTGGGAACAGGGAATTTTGGTATGTTCTAGACAAAGGATGCCTACACTCTAACTGATAAAAGGGATTCTCTGCTCCTCAATTATTTGTACAATGTGGTTTATGTTGAATACTTGCTTTCCTTCTGGGATTCTACAATTTTGGTTTGTACTAGGTGGAGGGTGCCCATGTGACCAAGTCCCCCAGTAAAAACCTTGGGCACTGAATCTTTAGTGAATTCCTTGGTAGACACGACTTCAAACCTAGTCTCAGGTACTTCCATAACAGTAAACCATTTCATTCAGCAGAGAAATGTGCTTCAATGTCTCTCAATACACTCTAAACATAAACCAGACAGCTGACCCTATGGTTAAAGTAACCCCCCACTATTGTGGCATGTGTGTGTTGGTGGGAAATGGTGGTTTAATGTCAAAAAGTCTATGGGAGTACAGCTTAGAAAACATCCAACTTACACATGATGCCTTTAAATTATAAACCACAGACATTAAGGCTGGACCAAATCATGGTGGATACACGCATGTGTTAGAATCAGAAAGCAACCAGAGGATGTGATTTAAAGTGTTGTCCACATTCCACCTTCTTATTCTAATAAAGCTCAAAAAATCTGTCTAGGCATTTATTCAAAGTGTTGTTTCCTTATATTTGCATGATTATTCCCACGTTTTTGCACATCTCTTTAAGGTATGTACTTACTACTACTATAATATTAACAAATAAATGCAGGTATTTATACAATGCCAAGCTGACTGATTTAACTCAGCAACTCTGCAGAAGTTCTACTAAAAAAGAAATATGTCTGGTCAAATCCACATTAGTGTGCAAAAGTCAACCTGCTCTGCTAATGTTCGGCATGTCCTCACTAGGGGTAAACCACCACACTTACCAAAATACACACTTACCAAAATGACTAAGGACTGAGGACTGGGATGCTGAGGGCTTGAGGTCCCAAGAAGAAGCGGCTGTGGGAGGACCTGTATTATTCTGCTGTGAACTTGGGGTGGTGGTTAACTGGCCCAAACTTGGAGCTTCCAACTGGTCCAAAATCTGGGAGCTGGTGATGTTTGCCATTTTGGAAGGTGCGAGCTCTCCAAATCCTGAACCAAGGACGGATGACTTTAAAGGGAAAGAAAAGCAAAAGTCCTCAGCAATACAGAATTTCTACAACAGGCTCTAAAACACGCCATGTATTTTCACAAGGATTTAAAAAATTATAACCTAAAACATTCTGAATTAGTAAGAATCATCTGAGTAAATACTACATGAAAACATTACAAGATCTGACTACATAAATCCAACAGTCCTTCCTGATTCTAAGAGGTTAGAGGGGGGCTTCCCTCGTGGTACAGTGGTTAAGAATCCACCTGCCAATGCAAGGGACACGGGTTCGATCCCTGGTCCGGGAAGATCCCACATGCCGTGGAGCAACTAAGCCTGTGAGCCACAACTACTGAGCCCACGTGCCACAACTACTGAAGCCTGAACACCTAGAGCCCATGCTCCACAACAAGAAAAGCCCGTGCACCGCAACGAAGAGTAGCCCCCGCTCGCGGCAACTAGAGAAAGCCATGTGCAGCAATGAAGACCCAACGCAGCCAAAAATAAATAAATTTTTAAAAAGAGGTTAGAGGGAAGGGGAATATTTGCCCTAGACTTTAAGAAATTGATTTTTATTTAAAAAGTGATGTCACAAGTTCACAAACACAATACTCCTTTTTTTAAAGTAAAGAGAAATACCCTGAATAAAATGACAAGAGACAAGCCTGAAAAACAAAATACAGTCTTTAACTTTTTAATGTTTTAAATAGGCTTAGTCACAGAGAGATCAGCCATCGGGTCATCCTGCAAGATCAGACGCAGGTCGCAGTACTTACTTAAAAAGTTTGTATTCTAAAATCAGATATGAATTACACAGGTGGTATTTGTGTATTGAGCAGATTCCCTAGACACTGCTGTGTTTATTTCAAGGTGTTTAGATGACTAACTACACCAAATACGCTCCCAATGCGAATGAAAGCCTATGACTAGACAACATACAGTGGCAGATCAACTGCATTTTTACTTATCACGATCATTCAGTTTCTGGAAAGGTTAAGTCCTTTGTCAAAAATAACTTTGCAGGGACTTCCCTGGCATTCCAGTGGTTAAGATTCCATGCTTCCACTACAGGGGGGCACAGGTTCAATCCCTGGTTGGGGAACTAAGATCCCACATGCCGTGTAGTGTGGTCAATAAATAAATAAATAAATAAGTAAACAAGCAAACATTAAAAAAATTTAAAAAAAAAACCTTTCCATAACCATCTTAAAGGTTAAAAATAGAAATGATTTGCATTTCATCAAGAGGTCAGATCTAGAGAGCAGAATTATTTCTGCTATCAATTTCCAAAGGCATGGACTATCTATCCCAGTTGTTCTAAAGATATCCAAATTCTCCAAAACTAGGCTGTCGGCAATTATTGCACTTCAAACACAGAATCTGCTTCTATTAGAACAGTTGTGCTAACATTACTTATTGCTACTCCTGATTCTGTGCTCATGCTGCCCGCTACACTACTCTTATGTTGCTATAAATCCGCCAAAACCCAGCTCAAGCCTACTTGCTCAATAAAGGCTTCTTGGATGATGCTTCTATTCTCTCTTTTCTTACCTAATCTCTATCCTGTTTCAGAATTTAATCTTAACGCACTTTCTGTGTTTCACAACACGATGACATCACTGCATCAATGACTAGCACCTTGCTTTAGGTAACACTTAGCACAGGACTTTAATTCCACCTACGCATTTCAATCAATGGGGGCAGTTTACAAATGTGTCTATTGGTACACTTGTGCACATGCACTCACATATACATAAGCACACACAAGGGCCCAACTCCCAAGCCCAAAGATTCTGACTGGTCTTGTGTAGAATCTGGTATAATTTTATTATTATTATCGTTATTAATCTTGCTATTAACTAAGGTTTTCCAATGATTATAAAAGTATAGTAGGGTTGGAACTTCCCTGGTAGTCCAGTGGTATAAGAATCCGCCTTCCAATGCAGGGGACACTTAATTCCTGGTTGGGGAACTAAGATCCCACATGCCGTGGCAACTAAGCCTGCGCGCTCTGGAGCCCACACGCCACAACTAGAGAAAAGCCCGTGCGCTGCAATGAAAGATGCCACATGCCGCAATGAATATCCCGCGAGCCGCAGCTAAGACCCAATGTTGGCAAATAAATAAATTTTTTTTTTTTTTTAAAGTACAGTAGGGTTGAGAACCACTGCTCTAATATGCTAAACAAACAATTCTTACTCCAGTTTCTCAAGATGTTGTCCACAACAAAAAGCAACATACCTGGGGGATGCTGTAAAAAACAGAAACAAAAACAAAAACTCAACTCACGACTTATCTACGCTCTCAGTGGCCTGACTATGATTCCAGCAAGTCAGCAAGGACATCACATCAGTATATCAGTGGCAGATGGAGGAAAGAAATTGGATGGTTCAATCAAACTCAGGGGTATTACTGGGCCCTCTCAAAACAGAGACAGCACCCTGCCTTGGGCCTGTCCAACTTCAAGCACTGATACCCTCTCAAACACTACCAACAATGGCACTAAAAATGTCAAGTTCCCAAGCCAGTTATACTTGACATGACATGGCTATGTAGAGTAGAAGATAGCAATGAAAAGTTTACATATTCAATTCTCCATTTTTTTAGGGAACAGCAAAGGATTTTGAGTCAAGTGGGAGAGGGTGATTATCATATATCGTATTCATAAGAAATTCCATTTCAAATGTAGATTTCAGGTAAGACACAGCAAAGAATGAACCAAAGTAATTGTCACTAGGGAAAGCTGTGGATCTGTGTTTATAGTCCTTCCAACCTCCCCTCTGCCAACTCAGAACTGCCCACACTTAGCTAGGGACTCGAGTTCACCATTCTGCAGCTACATTCTTTCACGTTCTATGCTCTTTTATTCCCATCACCTATCTTCATATGCTTCACTAAAGGTTCCTGAACTTCCTTCTGATGGGAGTTTAATTCTTATGGGAGCCAGAGTCATATATGCAGCAACAGATGATACTGTTCCATTGAAAACGCATTTAAATTTTTAAGGGCCTCTACCACATAATTTTTTGGAATAACAAATAAAAATGAAAAAAATACAAGAACCTAGGCAGACCTAGAAAAAACTGTTCTTGCATATTAGCAAGCCAATACTCACAAACATTAGCATTTAAGTAAACTTGAAAACAAATGAAAATTTAACATCTTAAGTATAGAGACAGACTTTGAAACAAAATCCAAGAAAAAAAATCATTAGTAAGAAGGATGCCTAACTAAATGATTATAACTAAACTAATTCATAATTCAACGAATCATAAAGAAGTATTTTTATCTTCATCCAGAAAACTCAGTAGTTGAATTCCACATGGCATCATCAGATATGTGCTTGGAAATTATCACATCATTGTTTTCTGGACTGAGATCTAGTGTAGAAACTTTTATATGTAAAAAATAATCATAAGGCATGTGTCATTCTAGAATACATTTGTTCATGGGTACATTCCTTAAAATCCCATACTGAAATAAAAGTGAGTTACCAGACTCTGAGGTGGATAGGGATTGACAGCAGTGGAGCTGCCAGTCTCTTGTGCCATCTGACTGTTGTGCTGAGAATTTGTGAAGATAAGGGCTTGGCCAAAGCCCTGCTGTTGGGAAGTTTCAAAGGAGTTGACTTCTGAGGCTTGACTGTGAGGAACAGGCTTCTGGAGCAAGGCTACCAGATCAACACTAAGCAGACAAAAAGCAAATGAAGAATGAGTCATAGGCAAATCTCACCAAAAAAATGAATTTGAGAAGTGAGTCAATATTAAGTAATAAGTTCATGCTAAAAATAATCCCAGTGACGAAAACCTTTGGAAACTGGAGTTTAAGGGAGCCAAAAGCAGGGAATCAATCATCCGCCACACACTCCTCCTCCCCAAAAAGGCATACCAAGCCACAGAGACTGAAACAGGGCTTTGCAGAGAAGAGAAACGAAAAGGTGCATTAAGATGTTTCCACAGAAATGGCACAATGACAACTGATTTGAAAACCTGGAGCAACTGAGTACACTTAAACAGTTCTCTCAAGTTTGGCTTGTTTCCTTTAGAATATTTGGCTCCCTTTATCACTTGAAACCAGTCTCTCTTAAACTTTCTTAAAGGAGAGTGAATCCATATTTTTGAGGAATGAGGACCAAAGCCGTACTAGACCACTGAAGCAGTCTGACATTTATCATAAATATTCCTATAAGTTCTGCATTCTATCCAATAATATATTTACATTTATATAAATCTCATATAATTTCTCTCTTAAATATTTAGGAAAAAATGCACAATGTATTAACAAATACTCTGTTAACTAGAATTCTTATAATGTCTCCAGAAAGACAGAGATTCAAATTTGAGAATCATGGCCTTAAAACCTGAAAGCATGAGGAAGAAGTGATCTTCCAGGTAATATACTACTTGACATGGGAATGAGCCACTAATTTCTCCACAGGATGACCTAACATGATAATTTGCTCCATTAAATCTTTTTAAAGGCCAGTTCCCAGGCAGTTCTCCTAACGGAAACTCTCACCATGCCAGTGAGGCAGATTCTGGAAGGTCAAATAATTCAAAACTCACTTGTGATATACAGCAAAGTTCCTAGGCCGAAGTTTCTCTCCTTATCCACTACCAACTCTCATGTTCCCATAACCAGATTGAAGTTATGGGATCTAGTATTTTGGACCCCAAGTTAATGTTCTAACTTACGACAGCCTAATTCTAGGGACAAAAATCCATGATGGATATATTACATATGACCCATCTTAAAAGTTCCATTACTAAAAAAACCAGAACCAAGTTCGATTCCAAAAGATTGATAAGACATATGCATGAAAAACAGTCCAGCACTGTCTTCTGAAAAATAACCATTGAAAAGGTCCATTTCTTATTTTTTAAATGAAAATGATCCTATCAAATTCATTGAGTACTAAATACAATACAGAAGTTATATCCATTTAAGGAGAAATTCTGAGCAATTCACAAAATATATTGCAAGACATAACCTTTGATCGTTTTTATTTCCCTATAACGAAGTCTTATAACCATCACATTTAGCGAGAGTCTGAGCATGTTGGGTTCAAAACTGTCTTCAATGCTCAGATGTCATATATATCAAGGCTCTCATCCTTCTAGATCACTGCATTTTGAAACCATAATCAAAGGTTTTTAGGATGCAAATAAATGCTTTTCAATAATTCAATTCTGCACACATTCTAACAATGTTTCTATTACCCCAAAAGCTCCTTCCTTTTCTGTAATCTATGAAATCAGTAGATTAAAACTAGTAGAACCCATATAAAATGAGAAGTTTGTACTACCCTGAGAAGATCTAAATAAATGGTATTATATGAAGAAACCAAAGGATAGTTCTGTTAAGTTTATTTGTCAAAAACAGTATGCTTACAAAAGTAAAAAAAGAACCATTAAATAGATTTAACATTATCTCTGTCACAAATTCTAACACAAACATAATTGCTATTTTAATTCATCAGTGATCACAACAAATCAGGAAATGATGGAGGCTCTGTCAGCTCACCAAGTAAGTTAGGGATAAAATAAAAGTCTCACACAAAAAAGAGAAAAAACAGAAAGAGAGTCAAGAAAAGGGTAAAAAATAGAAAGAGATCTGAGGAAGAAAACAACTCTCCTGAGGCAAGAAATTTCAATTATGCTTTGACTAAAAAACAAAAGGTGGGGGAAAGCGTTTACCTTTGCCCAGGTGTGACAAGAGGCTCTGCTGGAGCAGATGAGGAAGTGAAGACCTTTGTTTCAGAAAGCTGTTATGAAAGGATTAAAAATATTTTAATCTTATTTTAATCTTTACTTTAATCAAAATGTATCAAATTCCTGACAATTTTTAGTCACTGGTACTCTTATTCTAGTTCACCCAAAAGGTGGTCAAAGGAAAAGAAATATACAAGTGATTATGGCACATAATTTTCTTATGGTGAAGATAAATTTAGATTGATAATCCCACAAAAGAATTCCACATCAGCGCAACAAGAAAGTGAAGAAGTAAAGCCAGACCCTTGTGCCGTACATAGTTCAAGTCCCAGTTTTCACTATTCTACTTCACATTATATAAAATGAGAACACCAATAAAAACCACCACTAATGTTACTATAAACACCAAAAAGCAGTAGGAAAGTTTGAAAAGGCAAAATAATTGACGTTCTCTTTCCCCAAACACAGATGGTTTTAGTATTTTGTTTATTAGTAATAGTTTACTAGTCATAGATTTCCTTACTGTTTTTATCAAAATAATTTTATTGAGGTATAACACATACAATAAACTGCGAATATTCAAACTGAGTAACTGAATGAGTTGTGTCATATGTATACTCTGTGAGACCATCACCAAATCAAGACAATGAACGTTATCTATTACCCTAAAAGTCTGCTCCTGTCCCTGTGTAATCAATTCCTCGAGCACTCACTTTCGTCCCCAGGCAACCACCGGTTATGTTTTCTGTCACTACAGGTTAGGCTGTATTTTCCAGAATTTTAAGTGGAATTTTTTTAAACATACAGTCTTTTTTGTCTTGACTTTTTTGATTCAACATAATTGCTTTGAGATTCACACATATTGTTTTAAGGTACTTTTAAGGCACACAGGATAAAATTTCTTGAAACCTCAATTGACATTGTTGAAAGGCAGACTCTTTTTATGCTTTCAAAGTGGGGCATGAGCTTTTAAAGGCTGATTTTGTTGATCTAATGACACAATGTGAAAAATGAATGAAAATGCTATTTGAAGACTGCTGTAATTCTTAACAATGGTAAATGTCTCAGAACTCTGAAACCCAGCATAAAATCAGACTTCCTAAAACACTGATATTAAGGCAGGGGCAGAGCAGACAGTAGATGTTCATTCTCCATAAAAACAAAAGTGCTGAATTGATTATACTGTTTCAACAAGAAAGGCTTATGCTATGCTGCACCCTAATCCAAGGTAGTATCTTAAGAATTCTAAGGAATCCATTTTTGCCTTAAGAATCTTACAAATTAAATTAAGACAAAGAGAGAAGCAATTAAGGAGTAATTCTATTAAAAGTAACAATAGAGTAGATCTAAAGCCTTCAAAATATTAAGTTCAAGGAAAATGAGAACTACATTTATCACTGAAATCCTATCTAACCTGGTAGAGTACAGAAAATTGCAGTTTTCTTCTCTTAAGCTCTAGAAGGAATTTAAAATTTGCATTTTAGATTACTCACCTTTCAATCACCATTACTTTGTATATGTCAGAAAACTTTGAAGTAATTTTGATATTTCCTAAGATGCCCAAATTCCCTACTGTAATTCTTTTCAGTAATTATACTGTGATTCAATATGGTCTATACAGCAGAATATTACTGCCTGTATGTGTGTACATTTGAACTGCTTGTTAGCAGATTTACATCATAAGACCTCATCTGAAGCACAGAAAAATCCCATCAGTTAGGCATGACAGTTATTATGATATTCATTTTGGGGATGAAAAATAGGAGGCTCAGAAAGGAAAGATGCCTCATCTGAGGTCAACAGGTCAACCCAGCTAGAATCTGAATACGGGTCATCTGCCCTCTGACAGCCTGTTGACTTTCTAACCTGCCTACTGACCCAGACAACAGGCAAGGAGATATAAAGCTTTTAGCTCTGGAAGCCTTTTTTTCTCCCAACAAACTCTTAGCAAAAATTCTAGTAACACAAAACATTTAAAAGTAGGACAACTCTGTTTGAAATAAGGTATGGTGTCCACAGGCTGCTCACTCTCACTTCCTATCATCACTGGTACCATCCCTCCACTGATTCTAATAGCCACCCATCTAGTTCAGTCTCCTCAGATTACAGGTAACAGAGAGCCCACTGACATCATACCCCAAGGACTTATGGTTAGTATGTAGCAGAAGAAAATAAAAAACCCTAAATTTCCAAAATTCCAATCAAATGAGCATATCTTTCTTTTTCATGCCCTACCCAGCTCATTCCCTAACAAGTCAGATAAAATAGTGCTAAAAAGAAAGAAAGCACAAGTGCACTTTTGTTTCTTTTTAAAAAATGTTTGAGTACAAAATGGAGAGGGGGGAATAATCTCAAAAAGAAAAATAAAATCTCAAAGTCTGGGTCACTTTATGCAATTTTGAAGGTCAATACTTGTAAACCCTTTATTCTCTCCCTTCCAATGTCAGCTGTAACTCTCTAACATGTACATACTTTTGTTCTGGGCCTTAAGAGTGAAACAGAAAAATAGTTAAGATATCTTATGCTGAACACAGAACCAAGAGATCAACACTACCCAGAAGCTAGTACAGTATATTCAAAAATGTCTGTGGAATAAATGAATACAAAAAGAGCCAGTCTAGTTGAAAAGGGAATTGGTTGGGCCTAGAACCAGAATGATTTATTCAGGTTAATTTCAACTATAAACCCCAAACATAGACTGTCTCCTTTAATAAAAATGTTATAAAGAGTAAGTATCGTTCACAGGCCAGGATAATAGCATCAGCTAGTTATCAGGACAAATAAAACAAAGATAGAGAAAAAAATGATGTCACTCCTATTTAACACCTGGTCTTTTTTTTTTGGCCGCACCACGTGGCATGTGGGATCTTAGTTCCCTGACCAGGGATTGAACCTGTGCCCCCTGCATTGGAAGCACAGAGTCTTAACCACTGAACCACCAGGGAAGTCCCAACACCTGGTCATCTTTAAACGGTTGCTTTAAAACCAAGTTTCTCAAAAACCTGAAAACACCAACTTCCTTCTGAGAAGCATCTGCTAAAAAAAAATGGTAATCACAGAAGTCTGTGATTGTAAGTGTAAACACTTACATCTTCAGTCCAGTCTTCCGTTGTCCACTCATCCACAGAATTCTTCCAGGCCCCTGTTGACAATCACAGTTTACATCACAAAGTCAAATAATGTCTGATTCCAAGTGGTTCTCTATTGTGTATGGCACAAGATATATCACATATACCATTAGCAATATAGTTTACAATCCAAGAAATATGAGGCTCTTAATCTATCTCAAGAAAATCAGTCATGTTTTCAAATGCAACTTGGCTAAGTACTATCCACAAAAACTCAAAAGCAATGTCTCAGATTGCTTTTGGATGATATCCAAGCAATTCTGCCTTAAGAAAGAAAGTATGGCACAGCACAAATAAATATGTTTAACAAGGAGTTCCTTATGATATACACTGTTTAAAAGAGAACACAATTCAGTATAAGGCAGCTCTGCTTTGGGCCCTCATTTCAGGTTGATTATCAAATTTAGAGAAGTATGCTTTTCTTTTTTCTTGGCTGTATTGGGTCTTCGTTGCTGTGCGCAGGCTTTGTTGCAGTGAGCAGGGGCTACTCTTCTCATTGCAGTGGCTTCTCTTGTGGAGCATGCGGGCTCCATAGTTGCAGCACATGGGCCCTAGCGCGCCTGGGCTCAGTGGTTGTGGCTCATGGGCTCTAGAGCACAGGCTCAGTAGTTGTGGCGCACGGGGTTAGTTGCTCCGCGGCATGTGGGATCTTCCTGGACCAGGGATCGAACCCGTGTCCCCTGCATTGGCAGGCGGATTCTTAACCACCGTGCCATCAGGAAAGACCCGAGAAGTATGCTTTTTATATTAGTTCCACTGTATGGTTTCCTAATAACAAAGCTAAACATTAATCCTATTCATATAAAGTCTGTGGCTATTAACTCCTGATAAGCAGGTACAGAAGATGTGCTCAAACAGTTCTTACAGAACAATCATTTATATATAAAATAATTAAATGCTTTAAAGAAAAGCATATGAGTTCAGATATGCTGACATTAGTGCTTAGCGAATATAAGTATATTCTCATTATTTCATTTTATTTTTTATTTTTATTTTTTTTTGTGGTACGTGGGCCTCTCACTGCTGTGGCCTCTCCCGTTGCGGAGCACAGGCTCCGGACGCACAGGCTCAGCGGCCATGGCTCCGCGGCATGTGGGATCTTCCTGGACTGGGGCACGAACCCGTGTCCCCTGCATTGGCAGGCGGACTCTCAACCACTGCGCCACCAGGGAAGCCCTCCCATTATTTTAAAGCATACGTGCAAACACACACCCAGATAAAATGCTTTTAAAAGAAGCACACCAAGATACTAACTATAACCACCATCAGGAAGTGGGACTGTGAATGTTTTCAGTTCCTTCACTGGGAAGAAATAAGTTGAGCATCTGACTTACAATGAGGTTAGTGTGTGGGAAAAGGAAGGGCATACCCCTGAAGGAAAAAGGCAGATGAACAGATCTAACTTCCTTGGAATCATGTCAATAACCTAATAACTAAACTGATGGTGTCACCTAAGAAAAGAGTCCTTTTCTATGGAATGCTTTCAATAGGATGTCCCTAATTTAAGATCGATCATGGCAAACAAAAGTAGAATCTATGGATTTATGGAGCATGGCTCCTTGTAAAATAACACCCCAGATATGCTACTCTGTGATTATAAAACGGAGATGTTTCAAACCTGAAAACATTCTCTGGTGTGTGAGAAACCTACACACACCACTTAGAGATTTCACCTACACTGTGGATCACAGGGCATATGCATTGCAGGGAAGAACTCCCTGCTCTTCTGTCCCTCTCAATTGCATGTATCCTTGAAATAACAGTAAAGCTTGATAGATAAAGGTTTCAATATTTTTTAAAATAAATTTATTTATTTACTTTTGGCTGCATTGGGTCTTCATTACTGTGTGTGGGCTTTCTCTAGTTGCGGCGAGCGGGGGGCTACTCTTCATTGCAGTGCATGGGCTTCTCATTGCGGGGGCTTCTCTTGCTGCTGAGCATGGGCTCTAGGCGCATGGGCTTCAGTAGTTGTGGCATGCAGGCTCAGCAGTTGTGGCTCACAGACTCTAGAGTGCAGGTTCAGTAGTTGTGGTGCACAGGCTTAGTTGCTCCACAGCATGTGGGATCTTCCCAGACCAGGGCTCAAACCCGTGTCCCCTGCATTGGCAGGTGGATTCTTAACCACTGTTCCAGCAGGGGAGTCCCAGGTTTCAATATCTGAACTGACAATCTGATCCTTTGTTCTGGCTAATTTATCATATCTTTAAATGGTTTCCATAATTTCTCCAGAAATATCACAAAACAACTATCAATTTATGTGCCCCCAAAACATCTCTTTGAATTAAAATATTTTCATAAACAAAAGCAGAAAAACGTAATAGTTTAAGAGAGGAAACACAAGGTGCAATTAGTCCCAGTCAGAAATCAGTACTGGAACCTGGATCTCCAGACCCCTGCACAGGCCTCTTAGCACACTGTACACAAAGCTAAATGAATCCAATGCAAGCCATCCACCTATACTTCAATATCATCTTCCTTTCTTAAGTACTAACTAGTGCCTTTCTTAAGTACTTATACACAATCTCCAACCTTTTACTATATTTCCTTCCAGACTTTTGTCTAAGTATATACATAGTTTTAAAAGTTTACAATTTACAAGTTTAAAAGTTTACAATTTAAATTGTAAACAATTTACAATTGTAAACTTGTAAAGTTTACAAGTTTACAATTACAAAAGTTTCAATTTAAAAGTTGACTAATTTCAAAGATGGCTGGTACATAGTGGTCTTGGTGCCACCTCCATCCAACTTACCCTGTGTTCATGCTGTCAAATTCATCATAGGAGACAGTACTCTAAAGACTACAAATTCTATAAAAAGCTGAGGCTCATTCTAAGCAGATTTAGGAACACTCTAGTCAAGAAATAGAAAAAGCCTCAAAAATCATAAAACTTTCACCTTCAAAGCAACTAAGATTATAACAGGAAACAATTTATGATGAATTTTCCTTAGCAACCTTTCGTCATCAATCATCAATCAACTAATCCTGGGTTAAAAGCCTACATGTAAAGAAAGCATGATGCTAGGTATCAAAGTCATATCTCACAGAAAAGACAAGTAAAAATTTAGGGAGTGATCAGGGTAGTATATTACTGAATGATATAAAAATTACATGAATCTGGGCCTCCCTGGTGGCGCAGTGGTTGGGAGTCCGCCTGCCGATGCAGGGGATACGGGTTCGTGCCCCGGTCCGGGAGGATCCCACATGCCGCGGAGCGGCTGGGCCCGTGAGCCATGGCCGCTGAGCTTGCGCGTCCGGCAACGGGAAAGGCCACGACAGTGAGAGGCCCACATATCGCAAAAAAAAAAAAAAAAAAAAAAATTACATGAATCTGATTTAATACACAGGAAATTTAAAGGATGAAAAAGTTATGGAAAGCTAGAATGCTAAGAGAAACTTTATGGGGAAGATGAATCACAGCAAAAAACCTTGAAGGCTGGAAAATATCTGAACAGATATTTAAGAAGGGATATTCGGGACTTCCCTGGTGGTTCAGTGGTTAGACTCTGCGCTCCCAATGCAGGAGGCCCAGGTTCGATTCCTGGTCAGAGAACTAGATCCCTCATGCCTCAGCTAAGAGTCCGAATGCCGCAACTAAGACCTGGTGCAGCCAAATAAATAAACGAATGAATAATTTTTTTTTTTTTTTTGCAGTATGCGGGCCTCTCACTGTTGTGGCCTCTCCCGTTGCGGAGCACAGGCTCTGGACGCACAGGCTCAGTGGCCATGGCTCAAGAGCCCAGCCGCTCCGCGGCATGTGGGATCTTCCCGGACCGGGGCATTAACCCGTGTCCCCCGCATCGGCAGGCAGACTCCCAACCACTGCGCCACCAGGGAAGCCCTAAATATACATATATTTTTTTTATAAAGAAGGGATATTCCAGGGGAGAGAAACAATGATGAGGCATTACAAAAAATTATAAAATATTAAAATTAACCTAAAGTTCAGAACATCCTTTTTTTCCCCCCAAAAATGTATAAGTTGTGGCAAAATACTTATAAAATTTACTACGGTAATCATTTTTAAGTGTACAATTCAGTGATACTAATTTAAAACACACATTCTTATACATGATATGTAAAGAGACTGGCCTACCACTTAAAGAAGAGTATTATGAAAATAATTAAAATGCAAACTTAGACATGTAGAAGAGGGTGAGAAGCTGAGTACATTTACTTATTTTATTTCTATTTATTTCTGGCTGCATTGGGTCTTCATTACTGCGTGCAGGCTTTCTCTAGTTGCAGAAAGCCAGGGCTACTCTTCGTTGCGGTGTGCAGGCTTCTCATTGTGGTGGCTTCTCTTGTTGCAGCTCTAGGGCTCTAGGGCTCTAGGGAGCATGGGCTCAGTAGTTGTGGCGCACGGGCTCAGTTGCCCTGCAACATGTGGGATCTTCCCGGACCAGGGCTCAACCTGTGTCCCCTGCACCGACAGGTGGATTCTTAACCACTGCGCCAACAGGGAAGCCCCGAGTACATTTAAAAGCAGGCAGAAGACAACGTATGAAATTGTAAGCAGAAGTCCAACATGGTATGGTGTTATGTCAAGCAACAGAGGGGAAGCCCCGTGTCAGCAGCCAGGGTCAAGCTGTTGCAGTGACCCACCCTAGATACACGGACTCTAAAAAACTACATGACATTAGATACAGAAGAATACAGAGTCAGGTCCTAAAATCTTATTTTGGAATATTAAAATTTTACAGGAAGACCTTGCTCCCCATTGTAGACCTACAGACCTTCACATCAAACATACAAGAAAAATTCAATGACATTAATTTATTTCTAGCTTAAAACAATAAATTTGAATGTATGCTTTATGTTCAGTTTAACTTGATGTTAGCCCTCTATCAAAAGGACATATAAGGCAGCCTTATAGAAAAAAGGACAGCAGTGATGCAAAAATCTGTGTCACCTTGAAGGCCAATGTGAAAAACACTTCCATTATCAAAAGCTGATAAATTATTTTATCAAGTAGTTGTAAAAATATAGTTTACAAACATTCATCTGATGAATTTTTATTAGCTAGCCTTGATAAAAATGGAAGATATTTTAAGCATTTTATCAGATTCTTAACTAAGAAATTAAAAAAAAAATTCATACCTTTGAGTCCAAAAGAATTTTTGTTTGGCAGATTCTGAGCTACATTTTGAGCATTTGATGCCAGTTCTGTGGATCAATGTAAAATGGAAGGCTTTAACATATCACAACAATTAAGGTATTCATCAGAAGAGAAATTGGTCAGTAAATTAAACGAAGGAGGGAAAGCATCAAACTAAGTATATGCTTTGTGTCCAAGGAAAAAGAAACTTACTACAATCCATGCTATGACAGACTGCTATGGTCCAACTATGAACCTTAACAGCCAGACAGATCTTGAACATTCAATTTACATCAATTATGCTTGTTCTCATTCCCATGTTCACCAAGTTCCCTTCCCACTTGTCAAAGAAAACATTCCAATCTGTTTAAAAGGTATGTTTTTACTAAATTTATAAATTAGCATTTTGACTATCCTTCAGTCTTTCTATTTTGGGTAATGTTTGATTCTGACTCTAGGGAATGGATTTGATTATTATCCTGTCAAGTCAGGTTTCTGAGCCTATGAGGCTGTGGGCTAGATTCAGAACTCTGTGTTATCAACAAGACAATACCATTCTGTGAGGCCTCTAGAGAAATAGCCAGCACTCCATCAGATGACATCTTTTAACTGTATTTTGCATCGAACACATTCTGCTACTCTAAATGAAAATAAGAGGAATGAGAGGGAAGAGATAAAGACAAAAGGAGAAGGAAGAAGAGATGGAGGAATATGAAAAAAGAAAAATAGCGGTCAATGGACTAATTCAACATTCTGTTTCAAACATCTGATTTAAAAATCAGTGGTGGTTATAAATAAAGCCACTATAAACATCACATGCAGGCCTTTGTGTGGGTGTTTTCATTCCTCTTCAGTAAAAGCCTAGGGTTGGGATTGTAAGACTGTATAGTATATGTATGCTTTCACACCAGGAACGTAGGAGTTCGAGTTACTCCGTCACCTTCACTAACACTTGGAACTGTCAGTTTTCTTTTAAAGCTATTTTAATGGATGAAAGGTGGTAGCCTACTGTGGTTTTAATTTGTATTTCCCCAATGACCAATGATGATTAGCACATTTTTGTGTGCTTATTGCCATCCATATATCTTCCTTTGTGAAGCATCTGTTCAAATCATTTGCTCATTTTTCATTAACTTTTTATTTTGAAATAATTATACATTCACAAGAAGTTATCCTTCACCCAGTCTCCCCCTATGATTACATCTCACATAATTCCAGTAAAATATAATAGCAAAAAAACTGACACAGATACAGAATGTGTATACCATTCTATGTCAAGTTTGTATTGTGGTAAAATAATGTTTATGTGGTAAATAAAATTTACCATGCTAACCTTTTTTTTTTTTTGCGATACGCGGGCCTCTCACTGTTGTGGCCTCTCCTATTGCGGAGCAAAGGCTCCGGACGCACAGGCTCAGCGGCCATGGCTCATGGGCCTAGCCACTTTGCGGCATGTGGGATCCTCCCAGACTGGGGCATGAACCCGTGTCCCCTGCATCGGCAGGTGGACTCTCAACCACTGCGCCACCAGGGAAGCCCGATGCTAACCTTTTTAAGTGTACAGTTCACTGGCACTGAGTAATTCACAATGTGATATAACCAGTATCACCATCCATTTCCACAACTTTTCATTTTTTGTTCATTTTTAATTGCTCATTTTACTAGGTTGTTTGTTTTCTTCTCAACGAGTTGTGATAATTCTTTACCCATTCTGTATACAAGTCCCTTTTCAAACAGAGGTTTTAAATAAATATTTCCTCCTAAACTATGCCTTGCTCCTTCATTCTCTTCTGAAGAACCATGTTTTTCTTTTAGACTCATGCTTATTATGCCCTATGTAAGAAATTTTTGCTTAATCCAAGGTGGCTAAGATTTGCCCTGTATTTTCTTTAGAAGTTGTGCTTTCAGGTTTCACACGTAGAGCTATTATCCACTTGTGGTTATTTTTAATATACAGTATAATGTATGCCATTGAATTGCTTTGGAACCTTTGTCCAAAACCAATTGTATCTGTGGGTTTATTTCTAGATTTGCTATTATATAATTGATCTATCTCTGTGCTTTTGCCAATTCCAGTCTTGACTACTGTACCTTTAGGGTAACTTCTTGAAATCAAGGAGTGTGAATCTTTGAACGCTGTTAGTTTTCAAAACTGTTTGGGCTATGTTCAGACCTATACTTTTCCATATAAATTTTAGAATCAAGTTACTGACACACAAAAAATCTGCTAGGATTTTGAATGAACTTGTACTGAAACTGTATATCAATTTGGTGAGAAACAACATGTCAATAATACTGAATCTTCCAACTCATAAACACTGAGTATCTTGCTCCCTTTTTGGGTCATCTTTGATATTTATCATCGTGTTGCATAATTTTCAACATATAAATCTTGCACATACTTTGTCAAATTTATACCTAAGTGCTTCATGTTTTTGTACTACTATAAATGGTATATCCTTCTGTTTATTAATGCTTCTTCAAACACTCAATTTTACATTTTATTGTAAGATTTTATAATTTATATTTTCATTTAGAAGTCTTATCTTGCACATCATTAGACTTCTTCATAAGCATCTGATATTTTTTGAGGCCACTAATTTTTTTTCATTTTCTCTTTGTTGATGGTTTATAGAAATATTACCTGTCAACTATCTACACTGTTTAAAGCTTCCTAATTAATTTCATTAATTTATCTATAGATTCTTTTATATCATTGCCAGAAATGACAGGTTTTTTCCTCCCTTTCCAACCCTTCTTTTCTTTTTCAATCTTTGTTTCAGTGTTTATGACCTCTGGTACAGGGGTGAATAGAAATAATGAGAGTAATCCTCCTGTTTCTCTTCAGTTCGACTAAATTTTTTGCATTTAAAAAAAAAAGAAAAAAGGTAAGAGTAGTGAGAGTAAGCCCCTTGATCTTGTTACAAAAGAAAAATATTCTACACATCACTATTAATTTTGAAGTCTGCTCTGACTTTTGTAGAAATCGGGAATGAATGTTGGGTTTTGTCAAATGCTTTTCCTTATTAAAATGATATGGAGTTTCTCCTTTATTCTGTTAAAGGGGTGAATAATCCTTTTGTTATTGAGATATAACTCACATAACATAAAATCCACACTTTTAAGGCAAAGAACTGATTGGTTTTCAGTATATTCACAAGGTGTACAACAATCACAACTACGTATTCCAGAATATTTTCACTGCTCCAAAAAAATCTGGCACCCATTCCTAGCCACTCCCCATTTCTCCTAAACATTCCCAGCCCCCAACAGCCACCAGTCTACTTCTGTTTCTATGTATCTGACTAATCTGGATAATTTTTCTTACACATTCAGCCACTGAAGGACATTTGGCTTTTATGTGAACCTGTGTCTTCCATTCTCTTGGGTATATATCTAGGAGTCATCTGATTTTTTAAATGTTGAACTTGAATATCAAGTATAAACTTAACATGGCCATGATATATTAGTCTTTTTCTAGTTTACTGAATTGATTTCCAATGTTGTGACTTAAAATTTTTACAGTTGTTTTGAAGAATGAGATTAATCTGTAATTGTAAATGTTAGCAAAAAATTTATTGACAAAGTATCTTCTGATGATTTTTAATAGCTATAATATTAATTATAATCGATTATAAAGATAATTAATATCAATATTCCTTTTCTCATTCCTACAACAAATTATATGTTTCTTCTGTTCCCTTGATAAGTCTCACAATAAACTTATCAACTCTATTGATACTAGTCTTTTCAAATTACCATTTTTATAACTTTCGTTGGTCCTCTCGATAGTATATTTGATTTCTAGTTCGCTGTGCTTTTGTGATGGTGGCAACTGTCTTTTTCAGCTAATTATTGAGCTATACTTTTATATTTTGGGTTATAATTCACCAAGTGTCAAATTATGTTTTTATAAATATAATCACAACAGTTAATATATATTATCAGGAAAAAATTTTCAAAAGAGCTTTATTAAATAAATAAGCCAATTAACAAGTATTTATCTGTGAATTTCAGTAAAGAAATAATCTTAAAACTGCAGGACACAGAAAAATCTGCAAAAGCAACTGTTGCCCTAAACCCATCTATCATCATCTAACTCTTTATCTGGCCAAATTTGTGTTCACCATTATGAATGGTAAATACTGTTTCAAGTCTTGCACTAAGAAATTCTATATATCCCTGACACTGAGATTTGAGTGTGGGTTTGTACTGCCTTACACAGATTTATTACAGCCTCTTCTTCAGAGTGCAAAAGGGATAAACCACATACTTTATCGTCAATGAGATTTATAAGAGAGAAACTTTGGAGGTAAGAATCAGCTAAGAGTAGCCTCAGAGGTAGGACAGCTGCCTGTTTTTCATTCTTCTCCACCAGCACACTTTGATGTCATCTTTGTACGTTAAGAGCTCAAACAATTAAAATACATCTCTGGTGAGAATAGACACTTACCAGTTCCCTCATCTGCACCATTCTGAGCAGCTTCCCAAACTACTGCTTTTGTCCCACACCCATCTATAGATGGAGAATCTGAATAGTCCGCAGGGTTAAATGTCCTTGGGTTTGAAATAAAGAATAAAGGCAAATCACAAAATTAACTGTACATCATCTTCCCCGAAACAAGCCCTGTCCCTTCTAAGAACCACTACAAGAAACTTCACCCTCCTTCTTCTATTTAATTATAGCCAATTTTTCTCGCCATCGGAATGCAGATCTTCTGAAAAGCAGAGGTTGCCTAGAACCTTCCATACACTCTTGTATGATGCTCCTACTTCCCTAAGTTGTTGTCCTCTGCATCCTAAAGCAAGTGTGGAGACCTATAATAGTTGTAGGCAGGGTAATGGCTCTAATGAAAAACCCACCCACCCCCTCCCAACTAAGCCTAGACTTAAATAGGCAATAGGTCTTTTCTTCCGAAGTCAGAATCCAATTTTGGATTTGAACCTTTTACAGTAGAAGTATATGATTCTTTTTGTTTAGATGGATGTAAATAAAAAGAAAACGTTTTGTTCAGTGCCTCTTTTTAAATTAAAATCCTCAATACCCATGATTCAGAGCCAAATTAAATAGCACTGCTAAAATTTTCACAACAGAATTAAAAAAAATTTTTTCAGCATTATTGGGGTGTCACTGACAAAAAGAACCACAAGAGTATTTTTTAAAGTAGACAGCAAAATCCACAAAATCGTTTAAAGCTACTGGGTTGGGCACATACGTTCATGTGTTCCGGCCAGTTTGCTCCCTGTGTTTTCATCCTTCCTTTGCCCACAGGGAGCTCAGGCAGAAAACAGAGATGGCAGAAGTCACCACCTGAAGGCAGTGACCCCCAACAGTGCTGCCCTGGAGATATGGAGAAACAAAGGACTTTTCCTTTCTTGACTGTCATCTACTTATGGCCTCTATAAGAAGCTTAAAAACTTTTTATAAAGATCGGGGGGGCGGGGAGCTAATGTTTTGGATAACAGCAAAAAGTGAGAGAACCAGAAATAATGAATAAATAACTGATTATACCATCTATTTAATAACAATATACTCATCCTTCACAATTCAAGATAAAAGTGATTGCTTTTCATAAAAAACAAAACAAAACAAAAACATTTCATTTACTTACCATTCAAAGATAATTGCTGGATTTACCAACATAACTCTCTTAAGCAATGGTTTTCAACTGGGGTGGCTGTGCACCTCCCTCCCCGGGAACATTTGGCGATGTCTGGAGACATTTTTGATTGTCACAACTTGAGGAGGGGTGCTACTGGCATCTAGTAGGGAGAGGCCAGGGATGTTGCTAAACATCCTACAATGTAAAGGGAACCCCACCACCTCAACAAACTATTATCCAATCCAAAATGTCGATAAAGCCAAGGCTAGAAAACTGCTCTAAGGCCTACTGCAATACAATTTTATTTGTGTTATTTTGCTTTTTCAGTATTGTCTCTTTAAACTTTTTCAGTATTGTCTCTTTAAACTAGAGAAGGCAATAACTTCAAAAATAGGATGGCTAAGACTTACCCCATGCCTTGCGTTGAGAATCTTCCTGCCCCTCTCCCTCTGCCACGTCCAAACCCTTTCAAAAAAAATATAGTGTAAAAATAATACTTATGTCCTACACAACTATAATTCTACCAACTTCATCCCTTACACACCTACCCAAACATTACTGTCATTGTTCCTAACAGCACCAACATTCCCAACCAGTGCACCCAATCTGCTGGTCCCTAATAACACAAATATCTACAGTTATTGATCTCAAAGGATAGAAAATAATTTAATTCTGCTTGTACAACACTTGTCATATTTAGCAGCTTAACACGGGCAGGTTTTATATATATATATATAATTTATTTTTGGCTGCATTGGGTCTACATTGCTGGCCGCAGGCTTTCTCTAGTTGCGGCAAGCAGGGGCTACTCTTCATTGCAGGGCGTGGGCTTCTCATTGCAGTGGCTTCTCTTGTTGCAGAGCATGGGCTCTAGGTGTGGGCTTCAGTAGTTGCAGTACGTGGGCTCAGTAGTTGTGGCTCGTGGGCTCTGGAGCACAGGCTCAGTAGTTGTGGCACACGGGCTTAGCTGCTCTGTGAAATGTGGGATCTTCCCGGACCAGGGATTGAACCCACGTCCCCTGCACTGGCAGGCAGATTCTTA